GATTTAGCAGCAGATGAAGCTAGAGCTGGCAAATGGAGCTCCCAGGCAAGCATACAGAAAGTGGGAGCATAACTGGGGTGTTTCCAAGTTGCTGAAATCATGAAGATGGGGATCATGGAGGTGCCCTGCAGCTCACATACTTGCCTATAAATAGTGATGGTAATTCTTTGTTGTATAGGGAGAATACATAGATAATAGAATGCATAGAGAGGAAATAACGTATGTAAACTTGTTGGTGTAGCATGCGAATTCTGTGCATAGCACACGTTGTGTAATCCTTTGTTGATGAGATAAATAAAGGTTGAGAGGTATTCTTGTATTCTCAGTGTGCTTGGTTAAGAGTAATTCTACTTGTGTATTCCGCTTGTCTTTAACATGGGAAAGTGGGGAAACCTCTCGGGTGAGGGAAATACTTAGTTAATAGGCAAACACGAGTGGATAGACGAGGGAAGGCTGAGTCTAGCGAGGGACTAGGCTGCCGCTCGGGTTTATTCACGTAGCGAAAAATTACCCCGTGACAACTGGTATCAGAGCACGGTTGCTTTCTTGGCAGAACAGTGAGAATGATTCTGCGGCCAAATCAACGGACTGATTTGGGAGGGCTACAACTTATGCCGATGGAGAGGCAGATTTCAGTGCGCAATGATCAGCGATGAGAATGCTGTTGATTCTCTAGACAAATCGATGAGACTGATTTGGGAGAAACATTGTTGCTGCTGATGGACTAGCAGAAACTTAAGGATAGAGCGCAGTTTGCGTTCATGACGAAACGATGGGCTGTTTCGTAGCACAGATGCTAAAGGGTTCTGTGAGGCAGATCGAAGGGCTGATTTGCTTGAAGCCATTTTGAGGAAAACTTGCGAGCGGGTTTTGGGCAGGGTTGATGTTCAAAGACTTGCGGAGTTGGGTGGCTTAATGAATTTATAGGTAACGCAAAGTAATGACAAGGGATCAGATCAAAGTGGATGCTGATTCGGCCATTGAAATGTCAATGGAATGGCAGACTAGAGAACAAGTGCCAGCGATGGGATTGCTGGGAGTTTCTAAGTTTTCGTCGAAACCTAAAAGGGAAGGGTGAGACGAAATAGAAGGGGAAATTCAGTGGGAGAGAGCCCAAACTTGCTGCTGACGATGGAAGGTCAGACGAGAAGGCAAAGTGGTAAGGGTTCAAAACTGAATTTACACTATTTTTTCTCTTGCAATGGAAAATTACTTTGTATGGGATGGTTGCCCAACAAAGGAAAACCTTGATGTTGTCAGTGTGGAAGATGGTATTGGGGTTGTGACATGTGCAAATCTTATGTGTTTGCTTAATGACCGAGATAGAATTCAGTCGTCATGGGCCAGCATATCGGTGAGGATGTTGTCTGGCCCTGTTTGGGAAGCAAAACTTACTGCCTTGTGGGGGCAGAACTTGGGGATTTTTGTGCATCATCTTAACGAAGGAATGGTTAGGGTGTGGGAAGCAAAATCCAATGACGAAGTTGATGAAGACTTGGTCGAATGGCAAGACAAATTTGCGAAGATTTTGGTGACTTTACTGCCTTGGGGGAGGCAGAATTGGTGTCTTCGATGTGGAGTCCTTGATGATGGACAATGCAGGGTGAAGAAGACAGAACAATGGCAGAGATGGGCTCTAGTCATGTTGGGACCAAGATGGGAGAGTTTCATACCTATGATGATGGAGAGATCATGGTTTAACTCTAGGTGTGAGGATGCGCCAATGAAAAACATACTGCATAGAATTCAACAGCGATGGATTGCGGCAGTCTGGCATAGGCTGAGATGAATTCGGCAGGAAGAGTTGATTGTTGTACAATGGACAAGTATGCAGTATTGCAATTTAATACTTGTGGTATCGGGAATTCGAGGCACCTTGACGAAGAGGACAGATTGAGGTGAAGAATTCGGCAGCCAAATCATTGAGGGATTTGGTTGAGGAGCTGAACTAGATGGACTTAGTTTGGTGTGTTGCTTTGGAGGGGAAGCATCATAGAGGAGGCAGTACCGAGGCAGTACCGTGGGGGTATGTCTCAAATCATAGAGGAGGCAGTACCGTGGGGGTGTGTCTGAAGAGTCTGCACATTGATGAAGAACTGTCTAGGTGACAGATTCAACAGCCGATTCAGTGGGCTCGGCTGAGAAGTCAAGATCGTCGATGAAGATGATTTTGAGTGCTGTCTTGGAGGCAGTACGGGTGGCTATTCTATGTTTTGCGACAATAGATGGTTGCAGTGATAGAAGCAGAACGGTAGTGGCCTTTGTTGAAATACAGTGTTGTGAGTTTTCGGTGGACGAAACATGCAGCGCAAGGTGGAAAACAATAGGGGCTATTTTGCGTCAGCGAAGTCTTGTGTGGGTGATGAAGTTTCGGGGGCATGACAGTAGCGCATGGGGGAACCAGGTCAGACCAAATTTTGATGTTGGGATGCTATGTGTTTGTGCTATGGTAGGTTGCAGATGGACTGAGGACCTTGCCGAAACACTTCGACATGAGATGGAGTTGATCAAAGGATAGAGTTGGTACTAGAGCCAACTGCAGTGTCTCATTTTTGGTTACTTGTAGGTGAAATATGAAACAGTTGAGGAATGATGGGTTCATATGGGAGTTCTTATGATTCTTTGGCGGAGGTTTTTGTATGGCTGTATTTTGTGAAGGAAGGGACAGATTCCTTGGGTGCTAGATGCAGCATCCAAACTTTGCGAAAACATGCTTGCAAGTATAATGTGTTTAACATTTGTGGAAAACCAACGAGCCAAAAACAGAGCGTGACACAGTTTGGCTTTTAAACAGGTTGATGAAATTCGGTGGATGGAATTGTTGTTGAATGTGGAAAAAGCCAGAGAGAGACTTCATAGGGACATACATGGAGGGTGACAAGGAACAGATGCGGAGCAAAGGGTACTTCAAATCTGTCCGACGAGGGCGTCGGGTTCTTTTGGTAGGGGTGGTTTGTTACAGTGTTAAAATGTGCACGGGGTGCACACCTAAGGCATGCTGTCCAATACCAGGCCTAAGGGTGCTGGCAGCCATGCCAACGATGGGATAAATTAGCAGCGCAGATTTATGCGACTATAAGTTTCTCAAAGGGAACATCAGCAGCACAGAATGCTGGGCTTGATGATGGAATGTCCAAGCCAGAATGGAAGACTCGTCAGTGGCATAGGCTAGCGAGAACTGGGGCTGTCGAGAAATGCGGGGTAGCGCAGGATGCTGACAAACATAGGCTTGGCGATGGAATGTTCAAGCCAGACAAGGAAACTCGTCAGGGGCATAGGCTGGCGAGAACTGGGGCTGTCGAGGAATGCGGCAGCACAGATTGGTGATGTCTATGAGCTTGGCGATGGAATGTCCAAGCTAGACAGGAAAACTCGTCTGGGATATGGGCGGACGAGAATTGGGGCTGTTAAGGCGTTCAGCAGCGCAGACACTAGGAGCCTGCGCGCAGATGGGAATTCGGCAGCGCAAGATTTGGCTAGCTTGCACGCAGATGCGAATGCGGCAGTGCAGACATTGGGGCCTGCACGCAGTTGCGAATTCAGCAGCGAAGGAATTGGGGCCTGCACGCAGATGCGAATTCGGCAGCGCAGGAATTGGGGCCTGCACGCAGAAGCGAATTTGGCAAAGCAAGATTGGGCCCTGCACGTAGATGTGCTTTCGGCAGCGCAGAGATGGGGGTCTGCACGCAGATGCGGATTTGGCATCGCAAGATTTGGCGACTATACCTAGGGTGCGCACTCAGCAGCGCACAAGAGCTTGTGCAAGTCAGGGGCTTGACTTGGCAAGATCAAAAACTTGGACAAAGGACTGTCCAAGGCATGTGGGTGATTTAGTAGCAGATGAAGCTAGAGTTGGCAAATGGAGCTGCCAGGCAAGCATACAGAAAGTGGGAGCATAACTGGGGTGTTTCCAAGTTGCTGAAATCATGAAGATGAGGATCATGGAGGTGCCCTGCAGCTCACATACTTGCCTATAAATAGTGATGGTAATTCTTTGTTGTATAGGGAGAATACATAGATAATAGAATGCATAGAGAGGAAATAACGTATGTAAACTTGTTGGTGTAGCATGCGAATTCTGTGCATAGCACACGTTGTGTAATCCTTTGTTGATGAGATAAATAAAGGTTGAGAGGTATTCTTGTATTCTCAGTGTGCTTGGTTAAGAGTAATTCTACTTGTGTATTCCGCTTGTCTTTAATATGGGAAAGTAGGGAAACCTCTCGGGTGAGGGAAACACTTAGTTAATAGGCAAACACGAGTGGATAGACGAGGGAAGGCTGAGTCTAGCGAGGGACTAGGCTGCCACACGGGTTTATTCGCGTAGCGAAAAATTACCCCATGATAGATGTCATTTAACTAGACTAATGCTCCTGTAACCTTTCGGGCTTCGATGAATCACATAGCAGAACCTTTTACGAGGAGGTTTGTGGTGGTTTCCTTTGATAACATCTTAATGTATAGCTTAACACTAGAATTACACCTTAGTCATTTAAGAAATGTGTTGGAGACACTCAGGAGCAATCAATTGTTTGTGTAGAATCTATGTGCTTAAGTTGTGAATAACAAATAAAATACATGAGGCGCATCATCTATTTAGGACACAGATGCAATACCACTGCAGCTAAAAAACAATGCTAAACTAAGAAGTGGGGAGCACCACAGATCAAAAGGCATTACCAAACAAAGATTTTGTGGGTTATCCATCTCCTAGCTCCACAAAACCCTCCTTTCATCGATATTTGCAGCTATACCCGGTGAAAAACAGAAACCAGAGAAGTCATTGGATTGCTAGTTGGCTTTGGCAATTCCAACTTGTATGAATGAGCACGACAAGATTCCCCGAGACCAACAAGCTTCTTTGCTTCTTCGAGCCTTGAATCCTTAGCCAGTGCATCCACCACGCTTTGTATCAAAGCATTTTGAACAAGCAACTTGCTACAGAGAACGTATTTGCAAATACCATAAGCAAACATAAAATCACCCTTCTGAAGGGCAAAAGGAATCAAGCCCTCCAAAGTCAACTTATCCAGTTTACACCCACTTCTCCCTAACTCATGATACCAATGCTTAGCTTTCTTCAAATCCCCCTCATTAACAAACCCTCTAATCAAAGTGCTGTAACTAAAGGTATCAAGTTGAATCCCCTCACTCTTCATTTCTTCAACAACCTTAACCGCATCATCCATTCTCTTCTCCAATGTCAATCCAAGCAATTTCAAGTTATAACTCCGTTTATCTGGTTCAACATTCTTCTCCTTCATTTGCTCCCAAATCCTCTCCCCGTCAACAAACCTTCCTTTCGCATAAAACCCATGTAAAAGCGTATTAAAAGTAATCAAATCAGGTTCCAAGCCTTTCTTCTCCATCTCATTTAGCAATGTAGCAGCCGAATCCATTGAGCCCATCACGCAAAAAGCCTTAAGGACTGTATTATACGAAACCAAATCTGGTTCAATCTCTAACTCCATGGATAACCCTTTAAACAACCCTTCTGCTTCATCAAACTTCTTCGAATTAACACAAGCCCCCAACAACGCATTAAAAGACAGGACCGTGGGAGCACATTTTCTTTCAAGCATTTCGTCGAACACCTGGCGTGCATTATCGAACATGCCCGCTACACCATACAGAGAAATCAAACGCGCATTAAAACCCTCTTTATATATATCCTTATATTGCTTCTGGTCCTCTAAAATCTCTTCTATGTAGTTAAATTTCCGGGTGGCTGCAAGACGGTGAATGGCGTTTTTGTAAACAAAAGTTCTTGTGCGGAAATCCTCGTCTACAGATGCATTTTTGAATTTCTCAACGAGATGCTCAAGGTTGCGTTCTTTAATGATTTCTGTCCAGTAAGATTTGGCTTTGGTGGTGCCGGAAGCCGCGGCAGAGGTAGAGGCGGGTAATGCACCGCGGAGAAGGCGGAGAAGAGACGACATCCCGATTTTATGGGTTGTGGCTGGAGAGTTCGCCGTGGGGCTTACAGAGGGTTTCAAGGGGCTCCAAAAAAGAAAAACACGACACGTCGTTTTCTTTTTTAGATGCCTTGTCGTTTAGCTCGTTTTATATTCATAAAAACACCGTTTTTAATGTCTTATTATTATTATTATTATTACTATTATTATCTTTTCTAATTATAAACTATTTCAAATAAATTTCATATATTACATTTTTCAATTTATTATTATTTATACTTACATATGTGTACTAAATTTTGATCAGAGTGATGTGGCATGTTTACTTAGAGAATTGTTTTTATTTTGGATTGTATTTTATATATATAGCGATAAACATCAAGTATCTATAGCATACTCTTTTATTATTAATTTGAGATTTATAATAATATCATCTTGATAAATATCTAATTTGTAAAAACCATGAAAAAAAAATTAAAGTACAACAATGATTATTAAATACATTAATTTTATCTTACACGTACTACCTAATTTTTAAACTTAGATATAAACCTAAAAATAAAAAGTATATAAATTCATTACATACCGTTATTGACAAAAATGATGATTTTTATAATTAAAAAGATATAACTTTGTATTCTAAATAAATATAATCACAATCATTTATTAGAGGACACACAATCATTAATGAAATCAAATAATCTCGAATTAACATAGAGTTCAAGGGGGTGTTTGACAATAAAAAGTTGTTTTTCCGTTTCCTTTCTTGTTTTTCTTTTTCAATAAAAAATTAAAAAATATGTTTATTTGTTGAAAATGAAAAGGAAAAGGAATTTTTACACAAAAATAAGAAATACAACAAAATTACAACTATTTTTCATTAAAAAAATCAAAAACATAATTTATAATAATCATCTTAATATCTTGTATTTCTGTAAATCTAATTGTAGAATATTAATTTTATTTAAATTAAATTAAAAATCATTATAAAAAGTTATATTATTAACTCAAAAAAAAATCTTTATACTAGGTTTATAATAAAAAAATTAAATTTATGAAACTAAATAAATAAATAAAATAAAAATAATTTTAAACTTTTACATTGCTAAAAAGTGCTTATATATATATAGTTTATGTTTTTTTAATTTAAAAAAACATTGAAAATCTTGTATTGGGAAATTATAAATAACCTCTAAAATATGTTGTTCAAACTCAATACAAATTTGAAAAGGAAAAGAATAAATTTGCCCTCATATAATTAATTGGATCAACTAAGTCCCCATCTATTCAAATTTTGATCAATCTTAATGCACAAATTGTTGACAATAAATGGATACATTTGAGACTTTTCATCAAGTCTCCTTACACCTAGATATGAGCTTTTAGAGTGAAAAAAATTTAGGAGCTCAAATTTTGTGCCAAAAATTCAGTAGAAGAGTAGCCTAAAATGCCTACCTTGATTGTTAATGGTAGAACAGGGCATAATCTACTTAAGATAAGCATCATACTCTCAAACAAATTGTCCATGATTAGTGTGCTTAGGTTTTAATGGCGAGAGAATTAGTAAGAAAATGATGATCAGATTTTCTAATCAAGTTTTAAACAAATTGTACACACTCACACCTGTTTGCTTATGCCTAAAACAAAATGAAAAAGGGAGTAATCTCCCTTGAATTCCAACCTTGATAATGGTGTGGGAACGAATCACCTTAGCATATGAGACAACAAGTGTGAAGTCATTTTCCATGTTCTTCAAGTGACATGGATTCGAGTAAATATTCAGACAATGGATGGGAGGGGAGGAGGGACTAGTTTTTGTGCAGTGAGCCTCCATATAAGTTCTAACACCCAAAAAATCACAAGTTCAAAACCCTAAATCAAGTATGGATTCAATGAATTTCCTGCAGAATGCACAAAATGTATTGGGTACTTTCAGCCATCCAATTTGTTCCATTGTTGCAAACTGCGAACCTGTTCATTACATCCATCCAAATATAAAGCTTCCATGAAAAAGAATATTCACTCCCTTTATCAGTTCTAAACAATATCTTTGAAGTTACCAAGCTTCCAACTTTGTTAAACTAGGAGTTAACATCTGTATTGGAAACATATTTGGAACACATTATATGCCTAAGAATGCACAGATGATCATACACAGCTGCCCTTCCAATGGATCTTAAATTTCATATCCTAGAAAGGACAGAATATAGGGGGTGTGGGGTAGATTTCAGTATTCCTCAAGGCTATTCACTCCCCTCTATTTCGAGAACTATCTAATATATGCTTCAAACGCACTGCATGTGTGTTACTGCATCATAAATCTTTTTAGACTTCAATGTTCAGCTTCATCTCAATGCGAGTGAGTAAACACTCTAAATCTGCTCCATGATCTGTGGCAAACATAATGATAAAGAACAACATTTAACTAAATATTAAACAATCATGTAGACTGAGCACTAAGGGGCTCATATACAAAGGCGACAACCATCCAAAGCCTTCATTGCTGAGATGAATTTTCAGACAGATTGAGGAACTGTACAATACAAGAAATTGCATCTCAAAGCAATTTCAACTGTGAAATAGTTTAGGACTTGGTCCATTCACAACAGGCGCTCAACTGTGAAATGATGCGCAACAACATGAAAACAAAATCTAGCAAATCTAACAATATAAAATTGATATAAATAAAATTAGAGCTTGCAAATGTCATTGACAAGTTAAAAGATAGATTAACTACCACGACCATAAAATACAAAACCAAACAAACAGAAAATTCTGGAGTACTAATTGAAAAGCATCTCCAAGCTAAAATGTTTGGAATTATTTAACTCCAAATGCTTAGTAAACTACTTATTTTCTAAACATTTGCAGCTTTACCAGATAAAAAGTCAAAACCATGAAGGACAATACATAGCTAAATAGAAGGCAAATTCAACTTGTAAGAATAGGTATGATGTGCATCCCCAAGATTCACAAGCTCCTTTGCTGCTTCAATCCTTGACTCCTTAGCCAATGCATCCACCACGCTTTGTATCAAAGCATTTTGAACAAGCAACTTGCTACAGAGAACATCCTTGCAAATACCATAAGCAAACATAAAATCACCCTTCTGAAGGGCAAAAGGAATCAAGCCCTCCAAAGTCAATTTACCCCGTTTCCAACCACTTCTCCCTATCTCATGATACCAATGCTTAGCTTTCTTCAAATCCCCCTCATTAACAAACCCTCTAATCAAAGCGCTGTAACTAAAGGTATCAAGTTGAATCCCCTCACTCTTCATTTCTTCAACACCCTTAACCGCATCTTCCATTCTCTTCTCCAATGTCAATCCAAGCAGCTTCGCATTATAACTTCGTACATCTGGTTCAACATTCTTCTGCTTCATTTGCTCCCAAATCCTCTCCCCGTCAACAAACCTTCCTTTCGCATAAAACCCATGTAAAAGTGTATTAAAAGTAATCAAATCAGGCTCCAAACCTTTCTTCTCCATCTCATCTAGCAATGTAACAGCCGAATCCATTGAGCCCATCTCGCAAAAAGCCTTAAGGACTGTGTTATACGAAACCAAATCTGGTTCAATCTCTAACTCCTTGGATAGCCCTTTAAACAACCCTTCTGCTTCATCAAACTTCTTCGAGTTAACACAAGCCCCCAACAACGCATTAAAAGACACGACAGTCTGAGCGCATTTTCTTTCAAGCATTTCATCGAACACCTTGCGTGCATTATCGAACATGCCCGCTGAACCATACAGAGAAATCAAATGAGCATTAAAACCCTCTTTAGATATATCCTTATATTGCTTCTGATCCTCTAAAATTTCTTCTACATAGTTAAATTTCCTGGCGGCTGCGAGGCGGCGAACGGCTTCTTTGTAAACGGAAGGTTTTGTGCGGAAATCCTCGTCTACAGATGCAATTTTGAATTTCTCGACAAGTTGCTCAAGATTGCGTTCTTTATATATTTCTTTACAGAAAGATTTGGTTTTGGTGCTGTCGGTGGCGGTGGCAGAGGTGGTGGTCGATAATGGACGGCGGAGAAGCCGGCAAAGAGACGACATCTCTATCTTGTGGGTGTGGTGTTGGACAGTTCGCTGTAGAGGTTTATAGAGGGTTTTAAGGGTCTCCAAAAAGGAATTACACGACCCGTCGTTTTCATTTTTAAATGTTTCGTCGTTTAACCTTTTCAATATTCATTTAAAATAACATTTTCCGTGTCTTCTTCTTATTATTATTATTATTATTACTGATAAATATAAAATAACATTATTTTTATATTACAATTTTCAATTTTTTTATTATTTATACTTAAATTGTTTATATTAATCTAATGTGGCATAAACATTTAAAAAATTTCTAAAAATATTAAACTGTAATATATATATAATGTGTTTAATATGTTTAATGAATATTTGAAATGTATTGAACTGAATAATTTGTCATAAATAACTGTAGTGATAATAATAGTTTTTATCTTGTGGAATGTAACATATATTTTAATCCAAAAATTTAATTTACTTTGTTTTTAATATAATGAATAAACTCTTTTTCAGAAAATCATTATTAATATTTATTTAAATAATATTTTATTTTGAACAAAATCACAATTTATTCATGTTAATTAACTTTTTTTTTTTTTTGTTATTGACCAACTTGAACTCCCTTGTAATTGCTTCAAGTTTGAGTTTTTTAAACAAATTAACGTATAAAGAAAAAAGAAACGCAGTACTCTAAAGTTATCGGAGGAGGCATTGCAGAATTACCAAAACAGAAACTATCATAAGCTGACGCCATAAGTAACAAGTGATCTCAAGGTAGGCACATCGCATTCTGACATTGATCTCAAGGTCCCATGAGAGATTTGATTCAATCCTTCTACTCTGAACTTAGCATCCGATAAAGCCATTAACATCATGGATGAACATGGGGATGGGGTTTTTCATCAAGAACGAAGACTAGAGCTGCTGGTATAACATGTTGCTATTCATTCCCTTTCTCAGGGAAGGTGATCTTTGTGCCATTCTTCAACCTGGGTTCATGTCAACGATGAGAATCTCCTACACTGGCACGAGCTTGCCGCAAAACAAGAAAAGTACAAGTTCAGTGAAATTATCTAGCAAGCAGCAACTAGAGCGTTGGAAAGAAAAACATCGAGTGATATCTCATAAAATAACATGCATTTGATTCTTTAATCTACCTAGTAAATCCCATTAGGCAATGAATTATTGAAAATCAAATGGGAAGTCGATGCTCAAATTGGTAGAAAAAGAAAAAAAGAAACCCCTTGGAGAAATTCAAACTAGAAGGGATTATACTTCAGATACAAACCAAGGAGAAAGGTAATTAACATAAAAGGAAATTCTTAATACTCTCCCCCAGTCATCAAAAGTCTCCCTAGATATCTTCATTCTCTTGCTAGCTCCCTTGTAAGGCTCTTCAAGACTACAATGCAGCATATTCCGAATTGGAGCAGCTTTTCTAGGAGCAGTTTTGATGCACTGACCCTCCACTTTCACCATAAAATTAAAGATACCATCACCAAACAAGATACCATTACCAAACATCCCACCTGGGAACCTTGTCCCTCTCATCCCTCTACTGCCACCTCTCATCCCACAAAAATGGACTTGAGAACTCGAGAAATTGAGCAAAAATGTCATCATCATTTCAAGGATTGAACCTAAATGATGTGGGCCCATCTGCAGCAGAAAAGAATGAAGCTCCAGCACTACCAGCACCAGGTGGGTGTGCTTGATCCTTTAAACCCTCTTCACCATATTGGTCATATACTGCTGCTTTTTGTGGATCACCAAGACCTGCGTGAAAAAATTAAATTTCAATACGTACATTAATTACGGTAGATATTGAAATACCTGAAAAATAATGCATCAACTTCAAAGACAAGCACAAACAAAACTCTAATCTCTCTACTACCATTTGCCTACTAAAAATAATGCATCTTTTTTATATCCCTCTGCTGCATAATCATACAAACCAAAAGTTTCTCTTCCCTTTTCCTCTCTCAGCATCCTAGCATATGTCATCTTCCATCAGAGAATCTTATCTTAAGAAACACTCATTTTCCCTCTTTTCTTCCGTCCATTCCTAATAACTACCAAAGCGTTTTTTCTGTGAATTTTCTTCTTTACTTCTCCTGCTGTAAATCCCCATGAAAAAAAAAATCTAATGTTAGTAAGCATCGTTAATTACAAATTTTAACTCACTGTAACAAACAAACCCTAACTTAATAAAGAAAAAAATCCCTTGTTAGCTCAAAAACCTTAATTCCTAAATTTCACCGAATCAAAAACCTAACTACCCCCATTCTACAAGAAGAATCAAACAAAAAAACACCAACTTTAAGAAAACATATATCAATAAAACATTTTTGAACCATCATCAAAAGAAACCCAACTCGCCTCTCGCTCCATCTCCAGAGGCTATAACGGAGGAGTCACCATCGGAGGCGTGGTTGTCATTTACAAGATACAGAAGAAAAAAGCCTATGAGTACATCTCGATCTTCTTCTATATAGAGAAATGAAAAAAAAGATAACCAAATTTCTATAGTGTTATATTTTATATAAAGATAATATAGTCTTTTCATAAATAAATAAAAAAATTGTAAGGAATTGATCATTTTATTTTTCTTTGCTATTTTCAGACGATTTTTTTTCTTCTTTTTCAAAACTAGAAACTGAAAAATGTATAAAATAAATTTTTGGATAAGATTAAAAACTATTAAGAATTTAAAATTAGACATATTTTCTTTAAGTTTTACATTCAAGCTCTATTTTTTTTAATTTGGTAGTTTTACAATGATTTCAAAACTAGTTTCATCTAATAAAGCTACAAGAGGATTAAATTAAATGAAAAGAAATGAAAAAAAAGGATTAAGTGCTTTAATGTATGAACAGTGTAAACACCTGTTTTTCACCTCAAATCTTTAAATATTTTTAGTAATTATCTCAGGGACATTCTATTATTATTATTATTATTATTATTATTATTATTATTATTATTTTGATTTTTAATAATTTCATATTGTTGAATATCTAATTTCTAAAAATTGTGACAAAAAAAAGTCCAATAACGATTGTCCAATGCATTGATATTATCTTTTACACATAACTACTCTCTAAAATTGAGGATGAAACCTAAAACACCATGTATAGAAATTCTTAAGTTAATACGATGAATGAAAAAATGATGTTTTTTAAAAATAAAAAAGCTATAACTTTTTTTATTATAAATAAGTACAATCACAATCATGCATTAGAGGGCACGCGATCATAAATGAATTCTAATAATAATTCCGAATTGACAAAGAGTCTAGTTCTTGTTGTTGATTTTATCACTTTTTTCCTTGTAAATGTAATATCCCTTTAATTATAAAATGAGAGCCTTTTCACACATAAGGGTTACAAGCTTGACATCAAATGAACGAAGCATGCATATGCCGATCAGAAGTGAGGACATAGATTGACTACCACTGCAGCTAAAAAGAAAAAAGAAAAACGAAAAGAACAAATTAAGAAAGTAGTGGGGAGTACCACTGATCAAAAAGCATCACCAAGCTACGAGTTTGTGAGTTTTCTAACGCCTAGCTCCAAAAAACCCTCCTTTCATCGACATTTGCAGCTATACCCGACGAAAAACAGAAACCAGAGAGGTCTATGCATTGCAAGTTGGCGTTGGCAATTTCAACTTATAAGAATGGGCACGACCTGATTCCCCGTGACCAACAAGCTCCTTTGCTTCTGCTATCCTTGACTCCTTAGCCAATGCCTCCACGACACTTTGTATCAACGCCTCCTGAACAACCAACTTGCTATGGATAACATCCATGCAAAGCTGAAAAGCGAAAGCTAAATCACCCTTCTCAACAGCAAAAGGAATCAATGTCTCGAAAATCAAACGATGCGGTTTACACCCATTTTTCAACATCTCGCCATACCAACGCTTAGCTTTATCAAAATCATCTTCATTAACAAACCCTCTTATCAAAGCATGGTAACTAAAGGGATCATGTTTAATCCCCTTACTATTCATTTCTTCAACAACCCTAACCACATCTTTCATTCTCTTCTCTGATGCCATTCCAAACAACTTGGCGCTATAACTCCTTATGTTTGGTTCAACATTCCTCTCCTTCATTTGGTCCCAAATCCTCTCCCCATCAACAAACCTTCCATTCGCATAAAAACCATGTAAAAGTGTATTAAAAGTAATTAAATCAGCCTCAAGACCCTTCTTTTTCATTTCATCCAGCAACGAAACTGCCGAATCCAATGAACCCATCTCGCAGAATGCCTTGATGACCGTATTATACGAAATCAAATCTGGTTCAATCTTTATCTCCTTCGATAACCCTCTAAACAAGCCTTCTACTTCATCGAAATTCTTCGAACTAAGACAGGCTCCCAACAGCGCATTAAAAGACATGACAGTCCGAGTGCATTGTCTTTCACGCATTTCATCAAACACCTTGCGTGCGTGATCGAACATGCCCACCGAACCATAAAGAGAAATCAAACGAGCATTGAAACCCTCTTTTGACATGTCCTTATATTGCTTTTGATCCTCTAGAATTTCTTCTACGTAGTCAAATTTCCTCGAAACTGAGAGACGGCGAATGGTTTCTTTGTAAATGGAAACTTTGGTGCGAAAGTGCTCGTTTACGGAGGCATTTTTGAATTTCTTGACGAGTTTCTTGTGGTTACGTTCTTTGTAGATTAGATAAGAGAGTGATTTGGCGGTGTCAGAGGCTGCGTTGGAGGTGATGGTTGTTGCAGCAGTAGCAGCGGTGGAGAATGCGCGGCGGAGAAGGCGGGAAAGAGACGACATCCCTTTCTTTTGGGTGTTTTTGGACAGTGCAGTCGAGGAGGCTCACAGAGTATCTCTGGCTGACCCTTAAAGAAATAGACGACTTGTCGCTTCATCTTTCACTGAAAGCATGTCGTTTGATCCTTTGGGACTTCGGCTTGATTCTCTAATTTGAGCTTAAACTTCACTGAACTCACCAATCTTTTTATGTTAACCAGCATAGCTTTTAATGTCTTTCTGAATTAAATCTAAATATTAAATAATTAAATACAAAATAAATCCACCAAATAATAAATTATTACTAATTATTTATTATTATTATTATTATTTTGGTACATATAATTTGTATAAAACATTGATATTATCTTTTTCTCATAAAGCAACTACTTTCTAGCTTCTACAATTGGGGATGAAAATCAATACACAAAAAAATAATAATAATAATAATAAAGAAAGAAGCTTAATACCATAGAACATGTCATGTGTGTACTATATTTATAATCATATATTAGATGACATACCGTATTCTTTTCTTAGTTAGTGAACTATATATAATAATTCCAAATTGGATTAGAGAATAAGAAAATAGTGTAATTCTACCATTTCTTCTTGTTGATTTATCATTTTTTTTCTCTCTAAAAAAGACTAAAACATGATTAAATCATATTATTTTAAAAAATAAAAATAAATTTTAAAGCACGTCAAGAATAACAATAAAAAGTTGATTTTCACGCATACTTTGAAGAAATAAATACATATGATAAATAGATCACTAAGTACACCTAAGAATAATTTTTCTATTTTCTCTTCTTTTTTCCTTCCCTTCTTTGTTTTATTGAAAGTAAAATATGAGGTAAATAATTCTAATTACTCTCAAATATCATAAAATTTATTGTTTTGGAAGAAAATCATATAGCAATCATCTTCAAAATTATTTTAATATTTGATATTATGTGAGTTTATAACTAGGAAAGCACATATTGCTCATGAATTATGCACACTATTCATTTTCAAATATATTTATTAAGATTGAATAGATTATGAAACTTATTTTTGCAAATTATATGTATGGGCAAGAAGCCCTATAATTCAATGTGCACCCCCAAAAAATAAGAAATTTACGAGCTATCTAATAATCTTTTATGGTCTTAATTACATTGCTAATTAAAAATTAAGAGATTTAAAGTCACCAAGGAATTTAATTTGCCCGATGCTGGCAGAATCTCATTTGTCGTATGCTTTTGATCCTGTTTGTATTTTAATGTAGTTGCCACAATATTCGATCCGAAAATTATTTGGAAAAGGAGTCTATATCATTGTATCACCTAGTCGGTCATTTTTATTAAGACACAATATTTTGTTCTTCCTTTTTTTTTTTCTTGACTAAGTAGATTTAGATTGCGTCAACCTTCTTTTTTTTTTCTTTTATTATTATTATTATTATTATTGGAAACATTTAGATACTGAGCGTATTTCACAAAAAAAACTGAAGGTAATTATAAAAGGAAAATTAAAATTTAAGCTTTATGCTGAAAGTTTTTAGTCTGACAATTGGCTTACTTCTTATGAATAATCTCTAGGAGAAGTACAAAAGTCATTTGATAAAGAATTGTTTGGTTAGTATTTTAAAATAGAAAAGATAAAAATAATGGAGATATGTCTTTATATTTTTTTATTTTAAAAATATATAAATTTATTTTAAAACTGTTTCGTAGATATATTCATTTTATGACTTTGTCTCTTCTCTTCAACCATGTTGTAAAGGTGAATTGCATATAAAATAGATAAAAACATAAAAAGAAGTTTCTTTATATATGATAGGGAAGATAACAATTATATATATATATATATATATATATATAAGAGATGTTGCATATATCTATTACTATAAAAAACTATTATTTTAATATAAATAATTATTCTAAATAAAGGGCATAATAATTTATCATGTTTCTAATATTTATATTATAAATAATTGTTGAGCATCATGTAACCTTTGAACTTGATAATATCAAAGGTTTTTTAGTTTAACATATTCACCAAACAAATCCAGATTTTTTTAATTTAGCATGTTCTTCAAACTTATATTTTTTTGAATTTGATTGATTGTTTAGTTTAATTTTTTTGGGTTTAATATGTTTATCAAATCTATGTTATCATAAGTTTTGTTAACTGTTAAATCAAGTATTTTAAATCTAATATATTTATCAAATGTATTTTATTTAAAAAGATTTTATAAAAATCTTAACAAAAGTGAAATCGTGACAAACTGAATTATTCTCTATCGATCTTTAAAGGATTTGGAAGTCGGGAAGTATCTACTGGGTAGTTAGATTCAACAAATACTGAATTAAGTATAGGGTTTTGGAAAAAGTTTCCCCAGAAACCTTTGAGAATCTGATACCATGATGATGTATGCTCTACACATTACAAGTTGTTACAGTTTTATATATATATATATATATATATAGGAAATGACAGGAATAATGCAGGGGCAATCAAAGTGTATACAGTGACCTGGACAATCAATTTGACAATTAGGAAATTGTGCAGGATAAGCATGAATATTAATAATGTGATCAGCTGTGGGACTAAATTACTCAAATTAATCATCATACTTTGGTGGATATGATTGTTCATCACATATAATATTCAAGATTACACCAAGAAAATTTAAATCAAAATTTAAATGTGAATGTCGTCAATCTATCTGCAGTAAAATACTTTTTTTTTAATGAAAACTTCGTTCTATTTATAAGAAAATAAAATTTAAATCTGCATTTGATCTCTATGAATGTCGAAAATTATTAGTTTAATTAGTTACCCAGATTGAGGGCAAGGGGAACAACCAAGTGTGGTTTATGCATATCATCACATTCGTTCTATCCAGTTAAATTAATAAAAAAATAAGTTTCTATATATGATCTCCTCTTGATACATATTTATTTCTTTTATATATTGTAAGTATTTACTGCTTGAACATGATTAATTTTTTATTTAATTTGAGTTGATTAGTTAAAAGAGTAATATAAAAATATTTTTAATACTCGGCTCAGCAACTTAAGTTTTTGTATTTTATTTTATTTTATTTTTGTTAAAATGGCTCTTTCATTGTCAGTAACCATATATAGCCACAAAGCTCAATAAATTTTGAAATAAAAACTAAGTATGCATTTAATATTATGGAGTAATATGTTTTTTGTTTTAAAATATATTTAAATAATTTTTTTTATTTTTTACATTAATATTATAAAAATATAGAAAAGACTAAAAAATATTAATTCAAAAATTTTTCAAGGTAAATGTGTTTCTAAAAAAAATAAAAAAATAAAAATCACCCCAGCCCCATATAAACATATTATAAAAATGTGAGGAATACAGAACGTAAGGAGAGAGTATATCTCATTGAAAACCAAGAACAACAATCCACCATAATAGTGCAATAACAGTCCAAAAAAACCCGATAAGTTCAAAATATAAGACAAAACAAGACTGCAACTACCGTACGTTATGGACTCCATATAATTTCTTTCAATATAAAAATATTTCGCATTCATAAAATATTTCTTTAGCCCTATGCATGTGAAATGGTCTTGGAAGAGCACACTTGGATCCATGACAATTGTTTTTCTAATTAATTAATTGTATTTATTATTTATTTTCCTTTAACAATCATTTCATTTGTTGAACTTCGACGTCTCCATGCCCACTTTTCTGCCATAAATTGGCAAAACCTTGTACCTATTTTAAATTCACCCAAACTGTAACTCAATTTTCATTGCTGCCCTTCATATTCCAAATCAAAATTAGGTTTTTGATTCTAAAACTCTCAGTAAATACCAAATCTTACAGTAGAAATGTTGGAATAATATTGTCTTCTTTCAAAAGGGCATTACAGATATTAATTCCTACTTTAACTTTATACTTTTCCGTCTTTTTTATTGGCTGAAATTCTTCAATCACTCGTTTGTATATTCGAAATCTGATCTTTTAATTTAATATAGATAATATTAAATTTTGGATAAACTAATATAAAATTTATTAATGTTTTGATTTGTTTTATCTATTTTTTTATTCATATCTCAATCTAAGTTTTTTTTTTATAATTATTACCTAAATAGTCATGAAATCAATAATTATGTAAAAAAAAAATGGAGTAGAAATCTATAAATGAAGAGCAAATACTCCAATATTATAGTTTAAAATTTGTTAAGAGTGTGTGTAGTTAATATTCATAACCAAAAAAATAGATAAATAAATGATAGATAAGTGTTTGGTTAAAAAAATTCAAATATAAAATAAATTTGTTTGTAAGAAGGTTTTTAAATGATTTTTTTTTATTTTCATAACTAGAGGTGCATAAAAACATGTCTTCTTAGTCCACATTATTTCATTTTTTTTATTTTGAGATAATAATCAAAATCTATCTATAAATTAAAAAAAAATTAAAAAAAAAAGAGAGAGAGACTATATATATCCGGCTGAATTAACGAAGCAAGATTGATCCTTATCATACGAATTAAGAAGTAAATGCATTTAGGTATACAGGGCACCAAATTTAACCTATTCAATCGGCTTCGCTCGATCTCTTCAGTCGACAACAACCTTTCCTACCAAATTGAACAAAAGATAGGAAGATATATAACAGATTAACACAATCCTTTAATATCTTTTCAGTAATTAAATATTTAACAGATAAGATTCTATAAATCCCCAAAGTTTGTCATTTGATTCCTTAATTTCATCCCCCATGTTTCCTTCTTTTTTTTACAGCCTTCTCTCTCTCTATATATATATATAACATCCATACAGGCAAAAAAAAAAAAAAAAAAAAAAAAAAAAAAAAAAAAAAAAAAAAAGAAAAAAAAAAAAAAAAAAAAAGATAACAAAAAACAAGAAACAAAAATGGAAAACTTCTGTCTCAATTTGATGGAGTTGAATTTGCTCTCATCTCTGAGCTTGAAATCCCATCTTCCTTCCAAGATTCTCCAATAGATCAGCCTCTGCAATATTTCACATTAATTATTTCTCAATTTGATTCCCAATATACATTTGAAAAAATGTTTTTTGGAAGAAGAATAATGAAATTCTTCTTTTATTCCTTCAAAATAAACAAAGTTGCTGCATTTCCCCCCCGAAAAAAATATAAAAATAAAATATTTTCCTCCCTTTTTTTCATTAAATGAACAAGTAATTGCTTGATTACATCAAGTTAAATGTATACTCATTTTTTATGATCCAGAATTAGAGGGTTATAATTTATTTATTTTTTCACTATTATTCATCTTAATTTCTCCTCGAGCCACCAAATCATGATTAAAAAAAAAATTGAGACAAAAACGGCAGAATGGAAGGAAAATATTCTTCAAAATCAAATCCCGGCAGAATCAAAATCAATCCAATCAAAACTAAAATAAATTAAGCAAAACCCATTAAGAGAAATCAAAGATAAATTGTCTAATTAATTAACCCACTAATTACCTCGAGGCTTGCAAACAGGAGGAACTTCAAAGAGAGAACGAGAAAGCTGCTTATGAGCAAGACCAATATCAACCAAGATCAACCCAGAAGATGGATCATTCACTAAAAAACCTTTAACAGGAAACCAGAGAAAAAGCTCTTCTTGGATAAGTCCTTCCAGCCCCATAAGTCCACCATAACTAAGATTAGCTCTAACCACACTGTCAAAGACCACTCTTGCCTCATACTTAGTCATGCATGGGCCATCTAACTGCACTTCTAAGCGACCATTTTGGTCAAGATTGTAGGACTTGACGTTGTTTGGAAACAGACCACCTGGTAAGCCTTGGCTTCGAAGGAGGTTTTGTAAAGTGGAAGTGGTTGTGGTGATGGTGGAGAGGAGGAAAATGAGCGAGAGAAAGAAAGGGAGGAAAGATTTTTGTGTCAGAGACATTGTTAAGGTTTATGGCTATAACTGAAGGACAGAGTTTCAGAGAGACAGGCAGATAACTAGATGGATGTTGTTTGAGGTTTTTAAGGTTTCAGAACTTTCGATTCAGTTTGTGTTTTACGGGGCAGTGCGCGTTTGAGGTGATGATGAGCGAGTGAAGGGTTCGCAGGACCAGTACAAATTGAGGCCCTGGAAAAACCTGTTGTCCAAATTGCCCCTGATTGATAAGCCTAGTTTTGAGTGGATTAATAAATGATAATTCTAGACAATTACTTAAATGACCTTACTTTTTTATTATTGTTATGATTTGGTTCGAAATTCGAGAACAACTTGAGCTTAAGGTAATATTTAAGATTATTATAGTAGTTGTTTTAAAAATATTTTTTATTTAAAAATATATTAAAATAAAAAAATTTATTTTAAAAAATTTATTTGTGATATCATCTCATCAAAACTATTTAAAATTATAAAAAATAATTAAAAATTAAAAATACTTTATGAATGCAAAAACAGTACAAGATTTAGTTTCTCACCCCAACTAGAATAGAATAGTATTATTTTTATCATGTATATACATATGTATACATGTATTAAGTTGTTAAATTTTATTAGATATAATAATTTTTAGCTTACATAAAACTATAAAAGAAATATTATAAGTGGTAGAAAAAACTAATAGTACCGTGTGAGTTTTATAGAGGTTTGAATTTGATTTGGTTATATATAGTATGATTCATATTAGTCTAAATTAAATATTTGACCCGCATTTTGTTATTAGTTAAATATATTTTTTCAATAAAAAATTTTATATATAGGATTTTCCAAAACATTTTTGTAGTTACAAAAGTTTTAAGGGAAAATTAAAAAGTCTATGCTTACATAATTAAATAAATTAAGAGCTACATGTGTTAATAAATAAAAAAATCACGGATAATAACTTAAAAAAATAAAAAAAATTAATAGATATATGTAAATTAAGACATTTAATCTTGTAAGACGAAACATTTACTTAATTATATGTGGCTAAAAATTTTTATTTAACAAATAATAATAGAAATAAACACAAATGTTAAATTGATTAAATAAAATAGAAGAAGAAAAAAATATTATACATGATTGCACATATTAAAAATATTAAATAAAAAATTATATTAAAAAATAAAGTTTCTCTATACAAAATATTAAGAAAAATTATAGATGAATTAGAAAAACCTCTTCAAAAATTAAATGCATAACCAAAGAATAATTATCATTTAAAAAAGACTTTAAATAAAAATAAAAGAAAGAAGAAGTATTAATCTCAATATAAATTTTAAAAGATATAAAAAGAAGTTTTAATTAAAAATTTTTTAAAAAAAAAGGTCAGCTATTATTGGATCTGGCTCATTTTGTTAAGGCCTAAGCAAGTCTTTCCTAACATGCTCATACGTTTAGACTTCTTTTTTGTTGCATTATGTCATCAACTGATGCAAACAATATGTCATATAAATTTACTCAAATTTCAGTCATTGTAGAGGCTAAACAATTAAGGTTTAATGTTTTTTTTTATCTAAATAATGTTTTCCAATCCATTTTGATCCAAAACACTTTATGAATCATGATAAATCTATTCATAGCCTAAAAAATTATCCCAAAAATTGAAATCAACTCGAAACAAAAAAAAATTCATGAACTTTAAAAGTAAAAAACACACAATACGAACCCTTCATCAAATATAAACATTTGACATAAATATTGACTATTTTTTTAGTCTAAATCGGTGTCAACAATATTTTTCTCTCTCTTCTCAACTAGAAACTAAAAAAGAACAAAAATAAACTTTGATACCTAAATTAAATTTGAAAACTATTAAGGTACGAAAATTATATAATTTATGCTATTTTTAAAGTTCGAAGACCAAGGTATATTTTTTTTGAAACTGTTGGCACGCTATCCATATTTGATGTCTTTTTCATTCCAGTCTCTTCTTTTAATTTCACTCTTGACTAAGACATTAGAAGCAATTAGCCATCAATTAGTATCAAATTGCATAAAATAAAACATTAAGGACCAAAATGAATTATAAAAAAATACATAGTGTCATCCATAGTGTTTTGGATATGGATGAATAGTATCAGCTCTACAATTAAAATCTATAATAATTATAAAATTAGAGGGAAAAAATCAAACTCGTTTTATTTATTAATAGTATCTATAATGATTTTAGTTTTAGTTGAGATAAAAAAAATTGAAAAAATTAAAATTACATATATTTTAACTTTCATGTGAATGTCATAGGTGAGTCTAGAAATGAAATGCATGGACATAATATTTTTCTCATTTAGTAAAATAATAATTGGAGACATGTTAAGTAGAGATTGTAATAAATATTTGGGTTGGATTTTTCTATATTTGTATTTTACTCAATAATTATAAGGTAAGGAATTTCAATACTAATACATTATTTATCAAGTTTTGGACATCCATTATCCAACTATTATTTATTATTTGACAAAAAATATGTATATTAATTACAAGTTGATTTGGTAATATTCATACTTTATCCATTTCTCATCATATAAGATAACTATTTAAAACAAACTTATCTATTTAGATTAGATTAAGTTAATATTCATCAAATTTAAATTAAATTGTTATTCTAACACTAAGCAAACGCATTAGAAGGGTAAATAGGTCAATAAAACAAAGCAGGAGATGAATTGTAACATAACTAATAAAGAAAAAGGAAGGGGTGTTGTGGTAAATGCAAAATTAGCTAATTTGGTAACTAGCCAAGTGAGGTTGAGACCAAGGAGTCTTCTGGTGTGCATGGCAACAGAAGAGGCAGAAGAATCCAACCTCAAAGCTTACACTTGGCAGACGGCCAGCAATGCTAAGAAAAAGAAGGAGAAGGAGAGAAACTGCTGCTAAGACCATGGTGGATATTACGAGGTTATCTTTTGTCTGCCATGCTTTTTCCTTGCATGTCAGATAAGGTTTGTGTAAAAACTTATAGTTTAATCCTCGTATTTGTATCAATTCGACAAATGATTCACTTCTGAAAATATTTAGCCAATTTTATCATTATATTAGTTGTTTTTCGTCAATTATGACCATGTAGGTTGAATTATGAACAGTGTAATCTCTAAATTTCAATTGGAAATTCTTCTTTGGAGGTTTGTTGGGTGAGAGAGACGACTACCGATTCGGCCAAGTTTTTAGTGAATTGATTAATCTGATTCAAATGGGAAAAAAAGAAAAACAAACTGTGTTATAATAAAAATTAAGCCAATTACCTAACAAGCCAGAACTTTTTCGAAGTAAATCCTGGAATGACAACTATGTGCCGAACCATCTATAACTTATGATGATGAATGCTTCCATTGATTACTTCTAATGATGAATGCTTCCATTATAACAATTCTCGTGATCCATGGAAAATTGGTTGGCCTATGCCTAAACAGCAATCACCACAGCAATAATTACAGAAGCCAGCAAAGAAAATGCATACAGCAACCTCAACTTTTCCACTGTTGGATTTTGAAGATGTGATGATCAATGATGATGCTTTTGCAAATCATCGAGGTCCATTGTTTAAGACCCATTTTTGTGTCCTCCTTTTTGGACGGAATTGATGAGTGATTCAAGAAGATATATATACAGATGAATGCCCGACATGATTACGATGACCATGAATCTTCAACATACTTAACCTGATAGTAGAGAGGTTCCTCCTGATAATGCCTTTCATAGCCATATATAGCGTTCCCGTAGCTGTTGCCTCCATCATCCCTTTCACCATAAGGATTTGAGCTTCCGAAGAGATAATCAGCAGTCCCTTTCCATTGATTCCCATGGTTTCCACAATCAGCAGCTTCTTGACAGTCATTGACATTCCTAGCATACCGAGATAGACAAGGCCAGTAACCAAATAAACTTTCACAAAGGTCCATTGCTTCCAAGCCATATCCTGGTGGAATTTGTGGCCCTGGCACGCCATACTCATAACCAAATTCTCCACATGATCCATTGGCAATTCCGGTATCATAGCCAGGCGAGGGATCAGGATGATCAACTCCCTTTTCCTCACTTTCTTCACCTTTCTGCAACTCCTCTCGAGAATTTCCACGGCCGTTGCTAAGTTCAAGGGGCACGGGCACCGGCGCTGCTTCAATAGCAGGAGGGCTAATTGGTTTGCTTTCATTTTGCGGTTTTGCAGCAGGTTCATTGACTTCATCTTTTCCATAAGGTGCTTTAATCGATCCATAAGAGAAACCATTCAGTGATGAGACATTCGGATCCGGCGTTGAACGAGGATAACAAGTTTCGGCCGAGTGAGGAAGAGGTTTTCCATAAGTTGCAGCGAGATCATAGCCACCACCGTAAGGAGTTGGGTCATATTCTTCGTACGCAGGCTCATTAAACTCTGAGACATTATACGAGACAATGAATCGCGTCTGTTCATTATGGTAATGACCCGGATGATACTCAATACACATAGGCTCACTGAAGGTAGATGCAGAGTAAGCAGTTCTTGAGTAACTTGAGACAGGATCATAAGCAGCATAATAAGAAGGTGGATCATAGGCAAGAACTTGGTGCTCATTGTAGTTGTAGCTGGAATAAGCCACTGAATCATGATCTGGGGAAGGATCATAGCTGCTATTATAAGGGGTTATCGAGTACTGTCCGGTATAGTACTCACCTTGATAATCATCTTCATATCTGTAACTGTAGTAGGCCATTGATGAATCTACCTCAAGTAATCTCTTCAGCAACTAAAGCATAGTTATATTATGGTGTTTGCAGCAATCATTTTCCACATAAAAGTAAATGACCTGAACTTAAAGTTCTCTATAAGAACATCAACAAGAGAGAAACCAATCTTATCAGCACATCTGAACTCATCAATTCACAAGACCTAGCAATTGCCTATGTACAAGAACCATACAATCCCTATCTGATAAGAGTTTATAATTGCTATGGATTAAAAGCCCACATCATGGAATTTGTCCTTTGTGTTTATCAGGTACGGAAACAATTCAGATATGCGCTATGAACCAACCACCAAGCCATCTCGAGACAAGAAGCATGTGCCTTTGCGTTTAGTCCATGGAAAAAGACAAGCAATTCAAGCTTGTATGATTGAGAGTTTGCTTTGCAAGAATTTTTTAACACAAACGTGAAAGTTAGAGATGGATGTGA